CCACACGATCGGAACACATGACACACCCGTCGACGACGGACAGGGAATGACGGCGTCGAAAGAAATACGTGAGATCTCCAGCGGTGCTCTTCTGTGGCCAGGAGGTGTTTATAAACTTCATCACCTTTTGGAGTACGGGGTCTCGCCTGGTTGCATCACGTATTTTGAAGGCAGTGACTGGAATGCCTCTGATGCTTTCTGCCAGTTGACGTTGGACGTCCTCCTCGACTTGGACGACTGCGATCACGTTGTCTTTATCACTCGTTTGGTGGGTTCCGATGAGGCGAGACAATCCATCTGCTTGTCCGAAGTCTGCTGTGCGGCGGTACTGGATATCGAAATCATACCCTAGTAGTATGGTAGCCCAACGTTGCATTCGGCTGGCGGAGTATGCTGGAATGCCTTTCTTTGACCCGAATATGGACAGTAAGGGCTTGTTGTCCGTGAGAAGCGTGAAACGTCTGCCGTACAACAGCTTATGGAACTTTTTCACGGCGAACACGATGGCCAGCGCTTCTTTCTCCACTTGTCCATAGTTTTTCTCAGCTGCCGATAGCGTGCGAGATGCATGAGCAATCGCCTTGGCGGATCCATCTGGGAACGTATGGGAGATGACGGCTCCGACGCCAAATTGGGATGCATCGGCAGCGACTGTGATTGGTAGGCTTGGATCGTAATGCGTAACCAGTGGTTTCGAGGCTAGCATCCGTTTCAACTTGTTGAAGGCTGCTTGGCAGGTAGGTGACCAGTCCAATGGCGGAGGTTGTTGAGAGGTGCTCGCACCTCGTGCAGGGAGGGCAAAAACACACTGTAACATGTGACGAGACCCAAGAAGGAGCGAAGTGACTTGATGTCTTGAGGTTCAGGCATATCCAATATTGCGCGGATGTTTTGTGGGTCTGGGCGGCGACCGGATGCGTTAAAGATAAAACCCAGATACTTGATGGAACGCAGGAAAAACTGGCATTTTTCGGATCGCAGCTTGAATCCGGTGGACCGAATACGCTTGAGAAGTGCTTCGAGGCGTTCTTTCAACTGCTCCGGTGATTGTCCGACGACGACAATATCGTCGAGGTAGGCAGCCGTGCCTGGGAGACCGGTTATCATGGTGTCCATGATCTTCTGGAATATAGCCGGTGCCGTCTTCACGCCGAATGGTAGTCTCGTGTACTGGTAGAGACCGCGATGCGTGTTGATTGTGAGCAGTTCTCTAGAGTCAGGGCTGACTTCGATCTGGAAGTACGCGTCGGCCAGGTCGATTTTGGCGAAGTATTTGCCGCCCGAAAGGATAGTGAATATGTCTTCAGGGGTAGGTAACGGATAGCAGTCCGATTGTAGTGCGGCGTTTAGCCCAGTTGAGAAATCTGCACAGATGCGTATCGAACCATTGGACTTTTTGACTACAACGATCGGGGCTGCCCATTTGGAAAATGTGACCGGGACCAGGATGCCGGAATTCTCCAAACGCTGGAGTTCCTGTTCGACCAGGGGCAATGCAGCGTATGGTACTGGACGCTTGGGTCGGAAAACAGGGGTTGCGTTTGGGAGAAGTTGCAACGATGCATGGGCACAATTGCAGAGGCCAAGGGCCTCTTCGAACACAACAGCAAAATGTGTGGCAACGTGGCGTGATATTTCGGTGCTCTCCGAAACAGACAATATGGAGTTGCACACAGAATTGATGGACACTTCCAGTAGCCCCAATGGTTCCAGCCAATCAATCCGGATTAGGTTGAGGTGGGTTTGTGTCACAAAGCAGTGTCCGACGATGGATTTGTCATTGAAAGTGACGGTGCAGGCTACTCTACCGAGTAACTTCAGGGATTCACCGCAGGCACTGGTGGCTGTTTCAGTTGTCGGATGGAGAGTAGGACGACCCAAAGACTGCCATATACGACGGGAGATGATGGTTATGTTGGACGCCATGTTGATTTGGAGGCGGACTGGATGGTTGTTGATGTGCACAGACACAAATCGACGATGGGAGACTGCGTCTGCTTTGAACGCGGCAATTAGGCTGCTGGTGCGGTTGCGCGATGAACGAGGACGTCGCGGCTTGGACGATGTACGCGGACTCGATCGGCGGCTTGTTTGAGGCGGGCAGAAACCTTCTTTGTGACCCATTTTGTGACACTTGTGGCACCGATGTTGACGGAATGGGCAGAATCTGTGGAGATGCCAAGAGCCGCAAAAGTGGCGTGGTGTAGGCGGTTTGCGCTTGTCGATGCTGGAATGGTGGGATCTCGGCGGATCAGGGGACTTGCTGAAAGATACAGTGTGCACATTCCTGGCAGGGCGCTCGGAATCCTGGACGAGGGCAGGGTCTTGCTTGAGGTTCAATATTCTCTGACACTCGGCAGTCAACGTTCACAAGTTGGCGTTTGGATCCTGTTCGATGGCGTTCAGGAGCCGGGTTCTGATTTCAGCGTCTCTGGATGACTAAAGCCCACACAGGAACATGAGACATTTGAATTGGTCTTCGGTTATTGAGCGAAATTTGAACCTTTCACACTCCCGATTGACAATGCTTGCATAAGTTTGGAAATCATCAGTGTGTTGTGGTTCGTACTCAGACTAGTATTTCGTATGCGTATCGGATTCCGCGCACCAGTGGTCCGACCCAGAACTAGGACTCGGAACGAAATCAGAAGTCAACTCAGAGGCGGAATGGAATCGTAATAGGCGGAGATTCGGAATATACAAGGATATCGTGTTCAATAAAACAAAAGAGTTCATAGTTCATGAGCAATCACCACATCCGCCGCAGCTTGAATGAAGCTCCGGTCTTCTGTAGTCACGGCGGACTTTGTTGAGTAATCTTTCAGATCTCCTGGGTTCTTCTGTTCTGTTTTCGACATTTGTACTGGGATGTAATTCCTCTGGAAAAGACTCAGAAATAAAAGGA